ACAGTGGCAACTTACTAAGCCCCCCGATCTTCCAAAAGGGGTCCCCAATGCGTCCTACGCCCGATACCGCCAGCCTTTATGCGACCCCCAAGCCCCAAACTCCCAACCCCAAACTCTAAACCCCAAACCCCAACCCCCCCCAAACCCTAAACTCAAACTCAAACCCTACGCCAAGGGTGGGGGGGAGGGAGGGGGGGTGGGCGGGGGGTGGGGGGGGGGGGGGGGGGGGGGGGTGGGGGGGGGTGGGGGGGGGGTGGGGGGGGGGGGGGGGGGGGCGCTTAAGCCCCTCGACCTCGAGGGCGCAACGCCCGTCTCCCACAACTCCGAGGTCGGTAGCACCCACGATGGGCGCGGTACCGGAGCCCGTTCTCCTCGAAACTGGTACTGGTCCCAATTTCCAACACAAGCTCCGTGAGGTGTTTGCTTTAAGGTCTAGGGTTTAGGTACTCTCAATGCCGTGGACGGCGTTGAGTGGGAGAAAGGTGTTAGATGGCCCTCCACGCTCGGGCCACAGCTGCTCTTCGCACCTGACGAAGCTTTCGAGCCTCTTCTGCATCCGAACAGTCACCGCGCCTGCGACCCTAAACCCTAAACCCTAAACCCTAAACCCTAAACCCTAAACCCTAAACCCTAAACCCTAAACCCTAAACCCTAAACCCTAAACCCTAAAACCCCCCTCGCCCCCAATTGCAAGCCTCATCCTGGTGCCCAGTCTGCCGGCGAGCGACGAAAACGCGCCGCGACGCGCCTTGACAAGGCTGAGGAGCTGGCGAAGGACCTACTTGTATAGGGTTTAGGGTTTAGGGTTTAGGGTTTAGGGTTTAGGGTTTAGGGTTTAGTGTTTAGGGTTGGGAGTTTAGGGTTTAGGGTGTAGGGTTGGTTTCATAGGGCTCAGGGGTACGGGGGCTGAGGCTTCAGAGGACCTAGGTTCGCCTGAAGTCATTTTTCTGTGCTTGAGGTCTATGGGCTAGGGCAACCCCTAAAGCCTCAACCCTAACCCTAAACCCTAAACCCTAAACCCACACCCTAAACCTTAAACCTTAAACCCTAAACCATTCTTACAAACAAATATAACATAATGTGAATGACTTTGCGAGCAAGGTCACTACAAGGTCACCACAAGGTCATAAATTAGCGGGCTAGGTCATTACAAGTTCACTGCAAGGTCCCATGACCTCGTTATGACCTTGCCCGCTAATCTTATGACCTTGCCTTGTAGTGACCTTGTAGTGACCTTGAGGTCCCCCACAAGGTCCCCCATTCCCCTCCCCTCCCCCACCCCGCCTCCCCTCCATTTACAGGGCCTAGGCTCAGTGAGGGTGGAAGGGTTCAGTTCAGGGCCGAGGGTTCTCAGGGTAGGGTTTAAGGAGCATTTAGGGTTTAAGGCTTCAGGGCCGAGTGCTTAGGGTTTGGATTGTTTGCGAAACTTTCGTGCATCTGAAAAGCTGCTAAACTAGGTGAATGCTTGAACTTGGAGATGCTGAACCCTAAGCCCTAAGCCCTAAGCCTTAAGCCCTAAGCCCGAAGCCCTCAACCCTAAACCCTAAACCCTACACCCTCAGTGCGACCCGTTTTGAGTTCTCAGGGTCGAGAGAGGGATTGGACTGAGCTCAAAGCCATGCACGGCCCAACAGGGCGCGGCACCGCCCAAGACCTACACTTGGGTGCGGTTGAAGGTTTAGGGTTTAGGGTTTACCACAACATGGAAGATACGATGGTTTCTTTCAGACGTTAGCTCTTTTTAAATTTAACGATAATGAATCCAGGGACCTTCGAAACCCTAAGCCGTAAAACCTAGACCTTACTTGAAGGTTCCGGTACTATGACGCAATTAGAACTGTACTGATAGCCCAATTATAGCCATAATCGGGATTTTAAGGGGCTTCATAAGTGGGATATACGTAACTTACACCCTAAACCCTAAACCCTAAACCCGAAACCCGAAACCCTCAACCGCACCCAGGTATAGTTCTCGGGTGATGTGGTTATACTTGGATTAGAAGAACCATGGACCTCCAAGTCAGCAAACCCTAAACCCTAAACCCTAAACCCTAAACCCTAAACCCTAAACCCTAAACCCTAAACCCTAAACCCCCCCCCAAACCCCTAAACCCTACGCCCTCAAGCCGTCAACAGCCAGGAGGCTCTCCTCCTCGCCCGGCGCGCCGGGAATCCCTCGCTGGGACCCCAGAAGCAGTAGATTTTGAGGGCTGAGCCTAAACCCTAAACCGTGTAAACCCTAAACCCTAAACCCTACAAACCCTAAACCCTGAACCTCTGAACCCTAAACCCTAAACCCTAAACCCTAAACCCTAAACCCTAAGCCCTATACCCTACACCCCAAAACCCTGACACCCGAAATCCCGACATACCCCAAGCCCTCAAACATAGCTTCCATTTGCTTAAGAACCCCCCAAAAGAATAACAAAAAGATTCTTCCTTATAAGGGTCAGATAGGGATTTTGTTTTGTGGGGGTTCTTAAGCACATGGTAGATAGGGTTCAGGGTTTAGGGTTCTAGTGGCGGAAGCCATGGGGTACAACGAAGGGTTGAGGGTTGGGGGGGGGGGGGGGGGGGCATATAGGCCCTAAGTTGACAAACCCTAAACCCTGAGGTTTAGGGTTTAGGGTTTAGGGTTTAGGGTTTAGTGTTTAGGGTTTAGGGTTTAGGAGCGGCTTGGGGCTGACCGGCTTGTCTGCTTGTAGGATCAGGCATCCAACCCCGAACACCGTTAAACCCTAAGCCCCAAAACCCTAAACCTCACAACCCTAAACCCTAAACCTCACAACCCTAAACCCTAAACCCTAAACCCTAAACCCTAAACCCTAAACCCTAAACCCTAAACCCTAAACCCTGAGCCCTCCCCAATCTACAAACCCTAAACTCTAAGGGTAGTTACATGGGGTCTTAAAAGATAGCCCCTTACCCCCTGTAAAGGGTTCTGATGGGGCCCTGGGGGTTGTGTATGAGGGGTACATAAGGGGTCCCCTTCTAGGGGCGGGACCATGTAGCTACCCTAAGATAAACCCCCCAAAGCCCTAAACTGTAAACCCCAAACCCTGAACCCTAAACCCTAAACCCTAAACCCTAAACCCTAAACCCTGAACCCTAAACCCTAAACCCTAAACCTGAAGATAACCCCCCCCCCAAAAAAAAAAATGACAAAGGAAAAAATAGAAGTAAAACAAAAACACCTTTAGACCCCGGAACCCCAGGGCCCAGCACCCGAAACTGCCAGGTGCTTGGCGAACGGGCTGCATGCTGCAGCCATGGTTTCGACCTTGGTGTGGGGGTTTAGGGTTTAGGGTTTCGGGTTTAGGGTTTAGGGTTTAGGGTCTAGGGTTACAGGGTTCAGGGTTTAGGGTTCAGGGTTTAAAGTTACATTTACAAAAGGGCTTGGGCTTCAGGGGTTGATGAGCCATGGGGATTAAGAGTCCCTTGAACGGTGAATCCTCACTAGGAATTCGAAGCTGCCTTATGGGTAGTCATGGGACGTTTATTCACATGTCTCCGTTCTCCCTCTTTCTACCTTTTTTGATGCTCAAGCCCAAGCCCGAAACCCCGAACGATCCCAAGCGCACAACACAACAGTCCTTTCCGCACTTTAAGAAGCTCGTTTGACTAAGCAAGTCTACTTAGTATCCCCTAGAAACCCAGTTGTAATTCCCCATAGCTCACCTTACTTAGCCTACTTACTACGTCGAAAGGGCTTCAAGTAGGGCGTAGGGTCCTAAACTCGAAGCCCTGAGTTTAGGGTTCAGGAACCTGAGCGAGGCCTCGTGGGTTTAGGGTTTAGGGTTTAGGGTTTAGGGCTTAGGGTTTAGGGTTTAGAGTTCAGGACAGTTCTTCAAACGATAACAGGGGCCCTCAAGTTAGTTAAAGAAGACGCCTGGCTGAGCCGAGGGGGGGGGGGGGCCGAGTAAACCAAGCCCCGTGGAAGTCCTGCAACCTTCTTAAACTCTCAGTCCTAAGGCCTGAACCCCCCAAAACCCTAAACACTACATCCTAAACCCTAAACCCCAAACCACAAACCCCAAACCCCAAACCCTAAACCCCAAACCCTATACCCTAAACCCTAAACCTCCTCCAAAAAGCGTCTGGGCATCAGAACCCCCCCAAAAGTGAGGCCTCTTAGAGAGCCGGAAGCCCATGCCATGAAGCACAGCAGATGAGCACATTCCGCCAACCCCTAAACCGCTTTAGGGTTTAGGGTTTAGGGTTTAGGGTTTAGGGTTTAGGGTTTAGGGTTTAGGGTTTAGGGTTTAGGGTTTAGGGTTTAGGGTTTAGGGTTTAGGGCAACCCTCAACCCTGCACAGAGGTGCAGCTGCAGCGAGGGAACTACGAGAACGCGCTGCAGCGGCTTGGCTGTTGGCTGTTGCGGCCTAGCTCCTTAAACCCTAAACCCCTGAACCCTCATCCCCTTAAACCCTCAAGCCCTCACGTGGTAAACCCTTAACCCCTTCCACCCCCTAACCCGAAACCCCTCAACCTCTTACCCGAAACCCTGGGGGTTTTTGAGCTCCGGCCCGCAGCCGCATAGCCTCAAGGCCAAACAGCATCTCATGGAATTTAGGGGAGTTCCTGTTGCCGGGTTTCGGGTTGGGTGTTTAGGGATTATAGGGATAAGGGTTTACCCCTAAACTCTCAACCCGAAATCCTAGGCTTGAGGGTAGAGGGTTGAAAGCTTCTACCTCCTCCACTGAAGTCACTTATACGCCCTTTGAGTTCCCTGGTATGGTAAAAATTGGGCTATAAGTACAGTTCTAATTGGGTTATTAAGTACCACGAACCTCCAAGTAGTTTAGGGTTCTCACCCCTAAACCAGAGGGTTCGGGTTGCGGGTCGCTGCTGAATGCCCGAAGTAGCCAGACACTCCAAATACGCCTTGGTTACGAAGTATTCCTTAAGCCATATAAGAACCCTAGGAACCCTCTTACTATAAATGAAGGAATAGTCCCAGGGGTATTGGAGTCTCCGGGGATAGCACACCAAAGCAAGCAATGGTCGAGGGACGGCCGCAGAAGGTGCTCAATGTTTGGCTGCTGTCTGGGTCGAAGTTGGCGGAGGCTCCCCTGGAAGAGGGCCCGCTCCAAGATGTGGGGGCGTTGAAGATCTTCTTAAAGGACTTGTGTGGGCTCCCGCCATTCCTGCAAGTGCTCCTGTACGATCAAGTGCTGTTGGACGACTCCGCCCGGCTAGATGCCTTGCCTGGTCAGGACGTGCAGCTTGCGTTCGTACCCATCTCTGAACCCACCCAAGGCCAGCGAGCGGAGCTCTACCAAGGACTCTACGAGGCATCCCGGGCAGGCTTTGTGGACGTGTCTCGCCTGCTGCTGCACGCCCGGGCGGATGCCCGTGACGGGCAAGCAGCCTTGGCGATCCACGAGGCGTCGGAGCGAGGGAATGTGGAGCTCCTGCAGCTACTGGGTTCCTGTTCAGGAACTTAACAAGAAGTAGCAAGAAGAAGGGAAACCTTTACTTGCCGCATACCCATATTGAGGTTACAGTGTTACAGTCGCATAGTTTAAGTTCCTTGACCAGCAACCCAGGCTGCTGCTGCAAGCAGCTGCGGACCCATGCCAAGTCCTTGAGAAGCACCGGCGCCGGCGACTGCAGGAGGCGCCGCTCCTGGCGGCCGCCGACTGCGGCCACGTTGACGTGGCGCGCTTGCTGCTGCACTTCCAGGCAGACCCGAAGGCTTTGAGGGAGGAGTCCGGCTCCAGCACGTCGGCCCTCTGCGTCGCAGCCAAGAAGGGGTTCCTGGAGCTGGTGCGCTTGCTGGTGGAGAGCCGGGCGGACGTGGACGACGGGTTCTACACCGGCCGCGAGCTGCGGAAGACGCCTCTGTCCGTGGCGTGCGAAGAGGGCCACATTGAAGTTGTGTCCTTGCTGCTTGAGGCTCGGGCTGATGTGGAGAAGTGCTCGCCGCAGAAGGCGGCGAGTCGCCGGAAGCACCTCACGATCATGCAGCTCTTGACCAACCGAGCGGGCGATGTCCCCGCCCCAAGCGCAGCGCGACAGCGGCAACGGAAAAGGTGAGGGGCATTTGAGGTGCCTTGAACTCGTACCCCGAAACCCCTAAACCCCTAACCGCCAGACCCTGAACCTAAGCTCATAAACCCCGAAACGCGAAACCCTAATCCCCAAACCCCCAAACCCGAAGCCCCCCAAGACCCAACCTGGACCACGCTTCCAAAAAGATCCAGCCTGCCTCCAATGCCTTCTGAGTGCTGCAACTCTAAACCCTAGGCCGGTTTAGGGTTTACGGTTTAGGGCTTAGGGTTGAGGGTCTGGGGTCTCTTTTGGAGGCGAGCCTTTTTGTGCGATGACGGCTTGTGCAGACAAACGACCTTGCATCTTCAGAGTGATATCCCTAAACCCTAAACCCTAAACCCCAAACCCTAAACCCTAAACCCTAAACCCTAAACCCTAAACCCTAAAAATCATCTCTTGGAACAGCAAAGAGGCCCAAGCCCTGGCGCCTCAAAGTGAACCACATAGAGCTTCCGATGTGTTTTTTGTCCTGGCGGCCTAGGCTTTGGTAAGGATCAAGCCCTTAACTCTAAACCCTAAACCCTAAACCCTAAACCCTAAACCCTAAACCCTAAACCCTAAACCCTAAACCCTAAACCCTAAATGGGTGCTTGCAAAGGAAGGCGGAGGCGGCGAGGAGGAAGTACGACGAGCCCCAGCCCCGGCTTTGCGTCGTAAAACCTGCAGGTTCTTGGGTTTAGGGTTTAGGGTTTAGGGTTTAGGGTTTAGGGTTTAGGGTTTAGGGTTCAGAGAGTGAAGTGGCTTAAAGGGGTTCCTAGGGTGTTCGGGTCTTGGGGAATTTGGGTATTCGGGTACTAGGGGTAAGGTTTAAGTAGGGAATGAGGGGATGGGGCTTAAAGGGATTTGGGGTTTTGGGGGCTTTGGGGGTAGGGTTGAGGGTGTGCGGCTTAGGGCTTAGGGAATGAGCCTCTCATATTGTCCTTTACAGTTTATTTGCAGGGGTGGGGATATCAGGTAGCTAATTCCCTTCATTCCCGACTTAGAACCAGTAGGTTCAACCTGATACCTATACCCGAACCCCTAGTACCCCCTAGGACCCCTTCGGGGGCTTAGGATTAAAGGCGGGTTTGGGAAAGCTCAGGCTTTTCTAGGGGCTTCAGGACATTTGATGTTTAGAGAAGATCTTCGGCTTTGAGCAGCTTTCTTTTTCAGGGTTGCATAGGTTCGAAGTGCGTTTTGAACTTTTGGGAAGTTGAAGAGTTCAAGCCTGCTGGATGTGTGTTGTAAGTGATGTGTGAGATGAGGTCATGGGTTGTCAAGGTTCAAGGGTTTTCCAAAGGCTCTGAACCCTCAACTCGACACCCTACTGCAAGCCTTCTTGTGGTTGTTGTAGCTTTCGTTTGGGTTTAGGGTTCAGGGTTCAGGGTTTAGAGTTTAGGGTTTTGGGTTTAGGGTTTAGGGTTTAGGGTTTGGGGTTTAGGGCTTTAGGGTTTTCCCTTGGCTCGTGGCGCAGGTCTAGGTTTCTGTCGCCTGGGTTTGGCCGTCAGGGTTGCAGTATTTCGCAAACATGGCTTGGGAAATCCTCCCTGCCCTCCCTTAAGGCGGTTTAGTAATTAAGGGTTTTGGCATCGTTCATGAGCAAATGGGTTTAGGGTTTAGGGTTTAGGGTTTAGGGTTTAGGGTTTAGGGTTTAGGGTTTAGGGTTTAGGGTTTTCAGCCTCAACCCTGGAAGCCCTGAACCCGGAGAGCCCTAGGAGACCGAATTGCCCTAAGCGCCCGAAAAGCCCTCGAAGCCCGAAACTTAGGGAAGCTCCGGGAGCCTTAGGGACTTTTGGGGAGTGTGAGGGAGCTTTGGGTTACATGCCCCCCTTAGAACCCACCTCCCTTAGCTCGATAAGAGACCCTAAACCCTAAACCCTAAACCCTAAACCCTAAACCCTAAACCCTAAAACCTAAACCTCTCTTTCATATACAATTTAAATGTTAAGCAGTTATCGGGGCAAGGTCATTTTTTTTACTGGGCAAGGTAGTTTTTTTGCTGGGCAAGGTCATTTTTTACTGGGCAAGGTCATTTCTTTACTGGGCAAGGTCCTTTTTTTTACTGGGCAAGGTCATTTTTTTACTGGGCAAGGTGATTTTTTTTTTTTAACTGGGCAAGGTCATTACTGGGCAAAGTCATTTGTTTACTGGGCAAGGTCGTTCCATGAGTGAAATATTTTCTTAATGTTGTGGGATTCTTTGGGCGGGTGGGTATTTTTCTGGAGCAATTTCTTGACTAGTGAATGCTTGGACTGGAGATGCTGAACCCTAAACCTTAAACCCTAAACCCTAGACCCTAAACCCTAAACGCTAAACCCTAAACCCTAAACCCTAAACCCTAAACCCTAAACCCTAAACCCTAAACCCAAAACCCTAAACCCTAAACCCTAAACCCTAAACCCTCCCTAAACCCTAAACCCTAAACCCTAAACCCTAAACCCTAAACTAAACCCCCTAAACCCTAAACCCTAAACCCTAAACCCCCTAAACCCTGAACCCTGAACCCTGAACCCTAAACCCTAAACCCTAAACCCCAAACCCTAAACCCTGAGCAAGCCTGAAATATCTTCTTTCGGATCCTGCTTTTGGCTTCCCAGGGCCAAGGAGTTCGACGGGATACTCGACGTGCTTTTCCTGCTGGTGACCATCCACTTCCAGAAGAGGCTCCTTTGCCTAAACCCTAAACCCTGAACCCTGAACCCTAAACCCTAAACCCTAAACCTAAACTAAACCCTCTAAACTAAACCCTAAACCCTACTAACCCTAAAGCTAAACCCAAACCCTAAACCCTAAACCCTAAAAACTAAAACCTAAACCCTAAACCTCTAAAACCTAAGCCCTAAACCCCAAACCCCCACCCCTAAAGTCTGCCGCCAGGTCCTGGGAGCCAGCGCTCGCCGCTGCCGAAGACTCGATTCGGCTGGCGCAGCAGATGGGGAGCAGGCGCTGTGCGAGTAGGAGGGTGTAGGGTTTAAGGTTTAGGGTTTAGGGTTGAGGGTTTAGGGGTTGGGGCTGAGGGTTTCGGGTTTCGGAGCTTAGGGGTTTTTAGGGTTCAGGGTCTAGGGCTTAGGGCTTATCTCTTTTGAGTGGTTCAGGATTTAGAGCTTACTCCCCGACCCCAAACCCTTCACCTCTAAGGCGTAGGAGTTTAAGGGGTCCAGGTCTCAGGGTTTTGGGGTTGTGAGTTTGGCACTCCCGAAACCACCTGCGCCCCAACTGACGCGTTGTGTAGTTCAGCTTCAGCGAAAGACGAAACAGACGTTCAGCATGTCAAGGCAGGGCTTAGGGTTTAGGGTTTAGGGTTTGGGGCTTAGGGCTTAGGGTTTAGGGTTTAGGATTTGTTGAGCACAGCGCTCACCTCAAAGTTAGCTACCCAAAGCCCGAAAAACCTCCCAAGACCCCAAGCAAGAAGGACCAAACTCAACTCAGCGCACTTTCCTGCGGCGCGCGCTTTGTAAGGTGGGCGCACTCCGGCGCATGCAGTCGTTGCAAGGGCCTAATATCTCCACCAGAGGCAAGAACGTGGCGAACTTTCTGGCGATGAGCTCGATGTACATAGGGTTTAGGGTTTAGGGTTTAGGGTTTAGGGTTTCGGGTTGAGAGTGTGTTCTGCATGCCCTAAGAAACCTCAGGCCCGCCCCCCTAAACCCCAAACCCAGACGCCAAACCCTGAACTCGGTTTAGGGTTTAGGGTTTAGGGTTTAGGGTTTAGGGTTTTGGGTTTTTAGGGTTTAGGGTCCAAAAACCGAACCCGCCAGACCCTAAACCCCTAACCTCGAACCCATAAACCCCGGAACCCAAAGCCCCAGACCCTTTGGCCCTTTTCTTATTCTTGGTTCCTTGTAAAGGGACCAACCCTGCGCAAAAGGGTACCCAAACCATGGTTTGGTTGCGGGGCTACCGAGCAATCCTAAGCCCTAAGCCCTAAGCCCTATGCCCTAAGCCTTAACCCCTAAACCTTAAACCCTAAACCCCTAACCCCTAACCCCTAAACACTAAACCCCAAACCCTAAACCCTAAACCCAAAACCCTGAACCCTAAACACTAAGCCCTAAACCCTAAACCCTAATCTGCCAGCTCACGAGGATGGCGGAAGACTGCGCCTGGACAGCCTTCAACGAGATCAAGCAGGCTCTTTTGGGGCTCTCAGGGCCTTTTTGGGGCTTTTTTTGTTGGGTTTAGGGTTTAGGGTTCAGGGTTCAGGGTTTAGGGTTTAGGGTTTGGGGTTTAGGGTTTAGGGAAGGGTTTAGGGCTTGGAGTTTAGGGTTTCGGGTTGGGGGGATTTTAGGGCATTTCGTTTTTGGCGCGTTTCGGGCTAATTCAGGCCTTTTTCGGGGCCTGCTCGGGCTTGGCCAGGGGGTTTTAGTTTTGAAGTTCTCTTTCTTTTGTGAAGGGAGGGCTTCCCTTAAAAAGTATTGAACCCTCTAGGCCAAGTGCCTCCATCCCAACCAGAGCTCCTCCCGCGCTGCACCCTTATGTCGGCCCCCCCCCCTCCCCCCCGACACCTGGAGGGAACGAGTGAAGAGCCCCTTTGGCTCATTTTTTCGGGGGAGGGGGGGTCATTTAAGCCCTAAACCCCAAACCCTAACCCTAAACCCTAAACCCTAAACCCTAAACCCTAAACCCTAAACCCTAAACCCTAAACCCTAAACCCTAAACCCTAAACCCTAA